GCGCGCGCCTGTAATTCCAGCTACTCGGAAGGCTGAGGCGAAAGGATTGCCGGAGCCCAGCAGGTCAAGGCTGCGGTGGCCGGGAGTGGCCACTGCACTCCAGTCTGGGTGACAGAGTGAGACTCCAACTCAAAAAAAAAAGAAAGAAAGTAATATGGCAAGCACAAAATAATTGTGGGAAGACACTATTAAAGTAAAGAAGTCAGGGAGGCATGTGAAGTTAAGAACTATCAAGCAATCTACCATGCAATTGATCTACCAAAATACTTATCCATAAATGCATTATTTACAGTATATATATATATATATAGACAATATCTTCCCATTCTCATTAACAATAAGAGTTTTAGCTTTTTGGCTGTTGTTGTTCAGATTGTCAGATTTATTTTCAGAGGGATTGTGCCAATTTCATCTTCTCCTAGCAGTGTCTGGGAGGACCCACTTCTCCATTGTCTCTACAAGAAATCCTATTATTTTTTCGTATTCATGTATGGCATATAGTTTCTGTTTTTGTTGTGTTTTTTTTGAGTTGGAGTCTCACTCTGTCACCCAGACTGGAGTGCAGTGTCCGGTCCCGGTCACCGCAGCCTCGACCTGCTGTGCTCCGGCGATCCTTCCGCCTCAGCCTTCCCAGTAGCTGGAATTACAGGTGCGCACTACCACACCCGGCTAATTTTTTTTTTTTGATTTATTGTAGAGATGAGGTCTCGCCAAGTTGCCCAGGCGGATCTCAAACCCGCGGGCTCAGGCAATTCACTCACCTCAGCCTCCCAAAACACAGGATTACAGGCTGAACCACCGAGCCCAGCTGGCATATAGTTTCAATGTGCATTTCTTTTATTTAATTTTTTTTTATTTCAAATATGTGGGGTACAAATTAGGGTTAGGTATAAAAATTTTCATTTTGCAGGTACTCTTGTTGATGAGGTGCACCCCCCTCCCCTGGCAGTTTCCCACTACTGCCAATCTCTTTCTTATAATATTACAATAGTTGTTCACGATCCGCTTAAGAGTGAGAATATGTGATACTAGGTTCTTTGTTTCTGTGATAGATCACTCAGTATTATAGTCTCTAAATTCTTTCGAATTGTTGTGAAGCTCATAATTTTGTCCTTCTTTATGGCTGTGTAATATTCCATTGTGTATTTGTATCACTTTTTTTTAATCCAGTCCTCTTTCAATGGACAGCATGATTGGTTCCATGATTTTGCTATTGTGAATAATACTGCAATAAACTTGCATGTGCAGGTATCTTTTTCATAGCGTATTTTGATTTCCCCTGGGTATATTCCCAGTAGGGGAATTGCGGGGTCGTATGCAAGGTCAATGGTTAGATCTTTTAGGAATTGCCACACTATTTTCTACAGATGCTGTATGAGTTTACACTCCCACCAACAGCGCAGAAGTGTTCTCTTTTCCCTACGTCATCTGGCATCTGTTGTTTTTTGAGTCCATTCTGTCTAGAGTTAGGTGGTATCTCAGTGTGGTTTTAGTTTACATTTATTTGATGTCTAATGAGGCTGAGCATTTTTTCATGTATCTGTTGGCTTCTTGTATGGCTTCTTTTGAGAAGTGTCTATTCATATCTTTTGCCCTCTTGTAACGGGGCTGTTTTTGTTTTTCTTTTTCTTTTCAGCACGTTTGAGTTCCTGGTAGATCCAAGATGTTAGGCCTTTGTCAAATATGTAGTTGACAAATATTTTTTCCCAGGCTGTGGGCTGTCTCCCCACTCTCTCAATGGTTTATTTGGCTTTGCAGAAGCTTGTCAGTGTGATGAGGTCCCACTTGTCTCTCTTATCTCTTACGGCATGGACACTTGGGGTTTTGTTCAGGAATTGATTGTCAGTTCCAATTTCCATAAGGGTGTCTCCTGCATTTTCTAAGATTCTTATAGTTTGAGGCTTCACGTTTAGGTCTTTAATCCATTTAGAGTTGATTTGTGTTTATGGTGATAGGTACGGGTCTTGTTTTAATCTTTTGCATGTGGTCAACCAGTCTTCCCAGCACCATTGACTGAATAGGTTCTCTCCCCAGTGGTTGATGGTGGAGGCTTTGTCAGAGATGAGTTGGTTGAGAAATTGAGGTTTTGCTTCTGAAATCTCCGTCCTGTTCCATTGGTCTTTGTGTTCTTGTACCAATACCAGGCTGTTTTGATTATTATAACTTCATAATGAAGCTTAAAGTCTGGAAGAATGATGCCTCCAACTTTTTTTGTTTGTTTGTTTGTTTGTTTGCTGAGAATTGCTTTGGCTATTCGTGGTTGTTTGTGTTTTCATATAAATTACTATATTGTCATTTCCAGGTCTGAAAAGAATGCTGATGGTAATTTAATGAATATTGTGTTAAATCTTTAGATTGCCTTGGGTAGGATGAATATCTTATCACTGTTGATTCTTCCAATTCATGAGCTTGGAATATTTTTCCATTGTTTGTGTCATCTTTGATTTCTTTGAGCAGTGTTTTGTAGTTTTCTTTGTAAAAGTCTTTGACTTCTCTGGATAGGAAGATGCCTAGGGTTTTGTTTTTTTTTTTTGGTGGCTATTGTGAATGGGATTGTGCTTTTTTATTTGGGTTTCTCTTTGTTGTTGGTGTATAGGAATGCGACTGACTTTTGCACATTTACTTTTTACCCTGACACTTGCCAAAGTCTGTTATCAGTACAAGGAGGTGTATGACAGATTCTCTTGGGTTTTCAAGATATAGAATCATGTCATCTACATAGAGAGATAACTTGACTTACTCTGTTTCTGTTTGGATACCCCTGAATTCATTCTTTTGTCTGACTGCTCTAGCTAGGACTTCCAATGCTATATTGAACAAGAGGGGTGAGAGTGGGCATCCTTGTCTTGTTCCGGTTTTCAGGGGAAATGGTTCCAATTCTGTATGAGGGCTGTGGGTTTCTCGTAGATGGCTCTTACTGTTTTGAGGTATGTTCCATCTATGCCTAGATATTCGAGGATTTTTTTCAAGAAAGGGTGCTGGATTTTATCAAAAGCTTTTTCCACATATAATTATATAATAATGTGGTTTTTGTCTTTATATCTGTTGATGTATTTAATTACGCTTACAGTCTTGCTAATGTTCAACCAGCCCTTTAACCTGAGGATGAAGTCTACTTTGTCATCATGGATGATTTTTGAGATGTGTTGTTGGATCTCGTTTGCTAGAATCTTATTGAGAATTTTAGCATCTATGTTCATCAAGGATATTGGCCTGTAGTTCTCTTTCTTTGTTGGATCTTTCCCCTGTTTGGATATCAATCAGTGTGATGTTAGCTTCACAAATAGATTTAGAGAGAGTTCTATCTTTCTCAGTTGCCTGGAATTCTTTCAGTAAGATTGGTGTCAGCTCCCCCTTGTATATTTTTTAGAATTCTGTTGGAAAGCCATCAGGTCCAGGGCGTTTTTTTGTAGGTAGTTTTCTTATGGCATAGTCGAGTTCCTGTTATTATTGGTCTATATGGGGTCTGATTTCTTCCTGTTACATCTTGGGGAAGTTGTGTGATGTCCGAAAGTGTTCCATTTCATTTAGGTTTTTGAGTTTGTTTCCATACACGTGTACATAGTAATCTCTGATAAACTTTTGTATTTCTTCGGGGTCAGTTGTGACTTCATCTTTTGCATTTATTTTTGCATTTTGGTCTTCAACTTCTGAGATTCTTTTTTCTGCTTGGTTAATTCTACTTTGCATGTTTATCAGTTTGTTTATTTAATTTGCTGTATTCTTTATTGCTGTTATCTCTGTTATTGACTCCTTCATCTCTCCTCTTGTCTCTTCTCATTTGTATTTATTCTCCCTATTAATATCTTGATAGCTGTGCTTGTAGTTTTTGATCAGTGGCTGATCTGCTGATCTCCCAGGATTCTGTGTGAAACTCTTATTCTTTCTTTGGGTTTCTTCATTTGTGTAGGTTTTCCTCCCCGCCCCCTTTTTTTAACCTCTCCTTTAATACTGCTGTTCAGGGATGGGGTGATAGCTTTCTTTTCTGTTCGCTCAATCTCCTATTCTTCCTTATGTAGAGAATTTAGAACATTTTTAAATCATCAGAGGTAATAAATGTTTTTAAATCATCAGAGGTAATAAATGTTTTAAAGGTTGACAATGAAAATTGATCTTTCTTTATGGGATAGTAAGTTCTACGTAGTTAATGTTAGTCACAATAGTAATCAGTATAAAAACCAGCAACATTTTACCTGCAACTTAATTGAGAATTATGATGTTATATGAACATTTTGAAAATTAATCCCTTTAGGTAATATACAGTCCGGAAATTTAAGAGGTTGCCATATTTGGCACTTGGTCTAGGTCATAGGTTTTTGGTGGAGCAAGAGACAATGTTTGCATATGTTCACAATTATGTTTTTTCAATGAAATGATACATGTGTCTTTACAAGATCTGGTTGAGGAGACCTTAAATTGACAGGTCTTCATAGAAATAGGAAATAGATAATTTTCAGATTAATTATTGTTGATTAATGTAGAATATCTCTTGTAATAAAAATTGGAATTGTGGATACTTTAGAAACAAATTGCTATTTAATTATGATGTTGCCATTTCAAGTTACATTTCATACCTACTTCTTCTAAATACTTTGTTATGAGTAAAATGGAATTTTAAAATGACATAAGTGCCATTGATTTTATTAGGTTTTATTCTGGAGTCTCTGTAGTTTTTTCCACAGAGTTTCTACAGATGTAGACAATCTTTAATTTACTTGATGGATTTTTTGTCAGGTTTTTAAGAGCAAATTTAACTGACTGTTGTTTTACATTTTAATAATTGGTCAGATTTGAATCATTTTATATTAATTTTATTAAAAGTATGTAGTTAAATATGCAAATGGCACATTTTAATGAATTCTGATGTCACATATTAAATGTATGAAATTAGAATTGTATGGATTTTTTATAGTCAAGTAAAAATGCTTATGTTTATATTATTAAGTGGTTGTTTAACTTATGGAAGAAATCTATGAATATTTTATTAAATTGTATTACAGATGCCCCTAAGTTTATATCAAACCAAACAATTTATTACTCTTGGGAAGGAAATCCTATAAATATAAGTTGTGATGTGAAATCAAATCCACCAGCTTCAATCCATTGGAGAAGAGAGAAATTAGTCTTACCTGCTAAAAACACCACCAATTTAAAGACATATAGTACAGGAAGAAAGATGATATTAGAGGTAAGTATTCATTTATATCAATAAATTATATGTAAGTATCTACTATTTTACAATACTTTTAAATATCCTTCTATACAAATATATATTCTGAAATCGTGGTGTATATATTTTATATTTATTTATTTAAAAGTCAATTGGATCATGGCTCATTAATGAAAAATGCCTCATTATTTACTTATGTAGAAATGTGGGTGTATAGTAAAGAGCATTATTTTTCATAAGCTTATTTTTAGAAAAACAGTCATATGAAGAAAAACAAAGAGAGAAGAAATTAATAATTTGTTAGCTACTGAGGAGCAAAATTTCATCTTCAGTGTTGATACTTTAATTGATTCTATGGGTTATATCTTTTTTCTCCTTACACTGGTATGCATAAATGCTATTTCCTGATTACATTGTTATAATCCTCGTGTAAGTTCCTAAGTAAACAAAATTTACTTATTCAGTGTTTCATTTTATTTTATTTCTAAAATTAAGATTGTATATAATTGTGTTTATACTGCCAAGTGGCTAACTCTTAAATGGTATTTGAATAAAATTTCTTGTACAAATTAATTGCAGATTGTGTGTTTATCAATTTTCAAATGTATACAAGTATCTAAAAATGATCATGCTTTTAATATAAGATGCAGTTAGAACAACTGGGAATCTTCTTCCCAAAACCTTATTTTTCTGAAATGCCACTCCATTTTTCTTCACTAATTCAATTTACATAAACCAAATGAAATACGTCTTAGAATAACATCTGATATTCATACTACATTCAGTTAAGCTGTCTTTATTGATACCAATTAGACTTAGCAAAAGATTTTTTTGATAGAAAGGTCTAGCCATCACATCCCCAAATATTGGATAGCTGACTGGTAATTAAACCACTTTGTC